GACATGAATATATGATGATTATTGTTTGTAAAAAGTATGTTCGTTCATTTAAGTTGTAAAAATGTAGTGTCAACTTTAAAGTAAATGATTTTATTTCTTTGTTGAATAATGTTTGCAATTATTTTGAATGACACTGTGTATTTATTCAAACTTTGATGAATATATAAAAGTATTAGTACTTGTACTTAATTACTTCCCCCAAAAAAGTACAGGTACTGCAGTACCAAGCTAAAATCTAGTACTGGTACTGGTAATGGTACTGCATAACTTGGCAAGTACTGGTACTGGTACTTAAGTACTACAGCCTTAGTACTGATGCAGCTCTGCTCATGGTGCCTTGGCAAAACATTCAGCAACATTCTGCCTATGAGGTGCATGTCTTTCAAGCATGGACTGAACTGAAGATACACACAGCCTGGTGTGGTCTTGGTGATGGTATGTTTTGCTAATTCTTAACTAAAACGGTAAGAAATCCCTACTTTGTCCCTAGTTTTTAACATCAGAAATCCCTACTTTGCCCTACTTTTTGGTAAAAAAATGCCCTACTTTTTCCCTAGTTTTTTTGGTAGAGGTAGTAGAAAGCCTGCGTTGTTATATTCACATTCAGAGTGAATAATCAGTTAATAGCAAATCAGTTAATAGCAAATATTCGATTTCCAAGATGGTTACCTTATCTATTACCTTGCCCCTCTCCTTCAACGTTTTAATCGACATGTACATATATTTGTCGTTTTAATTGAAATTGATATGAAAAAAAGGATACACTTAACATGTCAAAAATGATGCATTATTCGATAATAATTGAAACATTAGATTAGTAGTTTTAAAATAGAACGTGTACATTCAATTTATGATATGAGAAATGAAGAATTATGCAGATTGTATCTTTGTACCATATTATTGTGTGTCTTTCTTTGTTAAAATCCTCATAGCTTTTTCGCTGCCAAATTGCTTAAACTGATTTTAAATATTGCAATTACAAAATAACCCACACATTTCTTTGTTATTGATGGAGTATGCGAATCACCGTTTCATAAACAAAATAAATAAACCGGAATAGGATAATATAACATTTTATACGTATAATAAGATTAAAGGCATATTTTTTTATATATTTTTAGATTTTACAACTACTGTCTTTTTTGTTTCATTATTTTATAAAGTAAAGCAATGAAGACGATAAGAGGTTTTTTCTTTCTATTCTATTTATTTAAAAAAATGTATGGCTATTAACAACACCTTGACAATAGAAAGGGAATAGGAGAGGTATGTTTTTTTTAATTATTTACCATTTGAATAAGGGAATGTGGTGTGGAAACCTTTATGTTCTACTTTCGATTATTTTAATGAGCATCAAATATTACCTGAACATTTATAGTATCAAAATGTTGAAGATATTGAAACGAAAAACGAAGGTAATCATTTGTAAACGGCAGCAACTGTATTATATAATTGAAGCTAATTTCATCTTTTATCCTTATTCATAATTGAAAGTATTTAAGAGACATAAACCTTTAACTTTTTTACTATTTCTTTGACAATATATAATTAAAGTATAGCTTCATGCCTTTCATTCAATTATGTATTGCTTTTTCCAAGATAAAGATACTATGTAATATGTTACTTTATTTCAAGATAACTTGAATTTCAACAATTTTACAAAATGCTTCTTTAGTCTTATTTTCATATATTAAGTAAAGCAATGAAGACGATTATAAGGTTTTTTTCCCTTCTTTTGTATTTATTTAAAAAAAATGTACGGCTATTTACAACACCTTGATAATAGAAAGAGAATAGGAGCGTTATGTTTGTTGTTGTTGTTGTTTTTTTTTCAATTATTTACCATTGAATAAGGGAATGTGGTGCGGAAACCTTTATGTTCTACTTTCGATTATTTTAATGAGCATCAAATATTACCTGAACATTTATAGTATCAAAATGTTGAAGTTATTGAAACGAAAAACGAAGGTTATCATTTGTAAACGGCAGCAACTGTATTATGTAATTTAAGCTTATTTCATCTTTTATGCTTTATAGCTTTATACCTTCCATTTAAGAGGCAATATATATTTGCTCTAAGCATAATTTTTTAAAACATTATAACAACTATTTTAACGATGCAATTATGTATTGTTTTTTTCCAAGATAAAGATATTTTGAAATATGTTCCTTTGTTTCAAGATAAACTTGAATTTCGATAACAATTATGTTGTATCTTAGATGTTCTGGACTTTCAGCACAGCGAAAAATATATCTAATTATTATTATTGTGAACAAATAAAATTCTATATGCTGTCATCAAGTAATAGATAAATACAGAATCCCTAAAGAAAGCCCAACACGGCAAAATTGAAAATGTTGCAGGCTCGGTTTGATTGAGCCTGTTCATGGACGGTATTGGAAAGTGCAAGTTACCGTCCACGCCCCCTAGCACCGGCTTAAGCAGAATTCAACATTTAAATATGAAATAGTAAAATTTTGAATTTAGAAACATCCGCAGATGTGTTCATACGGCGGTTATCATGGAACCTTCAATGTGACACTTCCGTGCCATTCCATGAAAAGCGGCGTATGGTCCCCAAGTAATAAAAAGCGTGTGACCTAAACGAGAAAACAATGGGCGGAACTAAATAAAATGGAATTTAAAAGGGGATCAGAGGTAATGAAGCCTGCGTATCACAGATAAGACGTCAAAAGACAAATTTAAAAAGCAGGCAACATATCCTAAGGGTGATTCAACATTATTCAAGTAGGAATATTGGAACCACCCAACTAGAAAATGCCGAAAAGTTGAAACTAAAAATACCACAAGCACAACAATAATGTCGTGCTGAACGATCTTCAAGTTATCACTTCATGGAAGCCCCTCATTCTAAGTTTCAACAATCATTCTGTACATAGTACTGTCAGTAGTTGCGTATTTATTTCGTTAAATATTTTTAAAGAATAAAGCGCCAACATTTAAGGGATGCGTTGTTTAGAGATGATGTAGATGGAAAAACGTTTTCTTATTATTTGACCCATGTATGCAGAATTTGAATAATATAATAAAATTAACATACAAAAATTACAAAAGTTTTGAACATATGTCAAGTATATTATGCATGCCACATATTGCTTACAAAACCATGTCCCACCATAGATAATTATATATAACATTCTTGGATCTCGGAGGTAAATTCTTACCATTCCTTGAATGTCCAACATAGAAATTAAAATGTTATTCAGCTGTGTTTATAGAATGGAGCCACGTGTGATGAATTGTGTCTGGAAACTAATGTCAATTTAAGTGACAAATTGATCATCAATTCCGAATATTGCATCGAACACATATATCATAATAAGTAACTTAAACATTAACTGCATGAACAGTCACTGGAAATGAACAAAATCAGCCTTGAAAATCGTTCTCTATTACAGTTAAATATCCGAAGCACAAGTCAATTTTTCCTCCATGTTCTTGGTATGTGCTCGTTGTTTAATAATAACGTTCATATTTTTGTGAAAAAGTATAACCTAATGCATAAATTCACAAAGTAATGCCTAAAATTGAACAAACAAATAGGATAACAAGTAAAATTGAAATGATTGGTATACTCAAGACAAAGACAGAGGTAAAAACATCTTCGTTGCGCCGAGAATATGTCCATTTAAATATTGGTGCGAATTGCATAATGTTCGAATGATTTTGAGGACGAACTGTTCTGTTATTTAACAAATAACAAAATATGTCTGTAATATCAAATAATAGTTATGAATAAGTTGTTAAATATAATCAATTCTTAGTTACGTATTGTTTTCTTATTTCTAAAAGATTCAACTACTTGATTATACACAGGTTTGCATATTTGCCTTACGGGTCTGTTTGAGCTAAATGTTCTTTCTTTACGATTGAGAGAGAACCGCCTCTGTAATAGTAGGCGTGGTTTAGGTTTTGTAACTTGCAATTTAATGATTCGCTCTTATGTTGCAGGTAAGTGATATTGATCATAGTTGTTCTGGTTTCCTTACCTCCGTCAACGAAGACTAAATGCTAGCATCCAGAGTAAGTATCATATTAAATTTGGTGACAATTAAGGCGGTGTCGTACTTCAACAGAGGCGGAGCAAATGAAGTGAGTTACACTGCCTCAGTCGTTACCTCTTTCAACTGTTAAGTTTTAGAACGAACAACTATAGACTGGCTCAATGGCACGTTATTTATTAGGTAAATAAAAAGAATATGATATTCAAACATGGCACTTTCACTTCGTTAAACGTTAATTTTAATCCCTTAAAGCTCGGTGACATGTTGTACATCAGAAAAGATATTTTTATTAGAAAATTTGACAACAGTGTGATTTTGTTAAAAAAAAAGATACACAAAATCAAGTTTAAAATTTTCCCCATTGCTGAATAGGCGAATGCATATCTACTAGACGCCGCGCTCAGCACGGCATCTAATAAAACGTATATTTTCATATTTTTTGTCAATGATTTATAACGGAAAGACAACTGCACACAATATTTAATGTGTAATAAAGTACATTCTTGAAATTGAAAAAACACGTTAGGTTTTTTCTATCATTTCGTTATTGAGTACACTGTCAATGAGTCCCGCTGTTGTACAAATATCAGTTACAGAATTTATACGTAAAATGTTCCATGAAACACAGAACAAAACACTGTGAATTGATAAAAGCTGTTGATCACTTCAGGGCAATGTAAGTATGTATCAACTATCACAGAAATGAGGGACACTGTTTTGCGAAGTATTTTGAATTAATAAGCATATGAAAAACATCAATGTCAATAAATACAACTAAGTTTTATCAAATGGGCACATTTACAAAAAAGTCACTTTTGCATACTTTTTACAGGATTCTTTTAATGCCATTGTAAAAATATATGTAACTTGGTTGAAATTGAAAGGTTGTAATAACCAAGAAATTGGGTTCTATTCTTATATCGCTGCGGCGTCTAAATATGGATCAAAGATGTCTTTCCAAACAAATAACTGTGCACAGTTCTAATGTATTTATTTATCTTCCAGTTCACATACATGTATATCAATCTTACATATATATCCAAACATCAGTAAACCAATCAATGATCGACAAACTAAATGAATCGTCAATGAATCGTCAATAAATCTCATTCAATCGAATCGATCAAATCAATCGACACTCTGAAAGTAAACAAATTATATCAACATAAAAATAAAGTGAAATCCAGTTCCTATATCTGAAAAGCATAATTATCAATAATAAAAACATCCTTACTTAGTTGATCAATTACAAATAGATATTTGCAACACATTACACATAGGTACATTAACATATAATATAGTTATATGCTTTCTATTGGCTGTCATTAACATAAATAGTTCATTTAATGAAATAATCATAAAATACATAACAATCATAGAGAATATCCAAACTTACCAGTTTGTGGAACTGAATGTACAATTATATCATATTACATCATCTTCTTCAAAACACACATACTTCCAAACTCTCTGTGCTGTAATTTCTGCAAATTATAATAAACAAAATGTGCAAAGTGATGGGAATGAAATGTGATATTAAGTTAATAGAAAGATAGATTTACTGCTTTTTCTGAAACAATTCTCAAACCACGAAAACATATGATATTTCAAATAAGACCACAATCATTACTTAATTAAAAACAAATCTATGACATACACTCTTTAAAACACTGATAATAACCAAATACAACTCAAAATCATAAATACCAACTATCAATAATCCAAATTTTAAATAAATTTAAAACACTAAGAAAATGTCTGATCTTAATTTTCACAAAGCCGCTTCAACAAAGACAAAACTAGTCACATGATCAAAATTGCGGGAAACCAAGGGAAACAACTCAAACAACCAAAAATGTATCAAGACACTCAAATTATCCATCCTGTTACACACTTCCCCACCTTAGAAAATGACGTCCCGTCATTATCATATATACAAAGAATAATCCACATCAAATAATTCTATTTGAAGAAAACAATTCTCAAAATATAACTCATCAGTTTTCTGAATTAATCAGAAATTTTTTACAACTCTTCTAATATCAGTTAACTTCAAGTATATAAAGTTAATCTCTACAACAGTCTATATAAATTCAATTCTTCCCTCCCCCTTCTTAAATAATGCGACCTCGCAATATATACTGAATTATTTTAATTTATATTGGCTTTTATTCAATGATTAGAATATAAATTTATTCAATTAAGGTTAAAAAATTACAAAAATTCAAACAATACATTACATATAAAATTAAATACAAAAGTACTGAATACAATATATCAATCAGACAATGTATTTAATAACTTCTGTGCCACATGAATATCAATCCTGTTCAATACGCCAGAATTCATCAATACATCTAATGCCTGTAGATTGGTATCATATGGTCTTGGTACCATTCGATTCATGTGGTAATCACTCTGCCAATTTGGTGGTTTACGTTCTCTTACAGAACGTCTTGGAGTTGGCTTAGGCCTTGGAGGTGGTTTTGGTGGAGGCTCTTCAGGGATTTCTTCAATTCCTGGACCTTCATCAACATGTGAATTTTCATCTGTCACTTCCGTGCTTGTTTCTGAATTGTCATCTGTGTCATTGTCTATACCTGTGTGTATTTCAATAGGTGTGTCATCTGAATCTACATGTTCTTCATGATGATTTGAATCCACACTTTGTATTTCTATGTCATCCACTTCTTCAATCTCATTAGATTCAAGTTCCTCTTCGTCTGTTCCTTTGTTTTCTGTGTCTACTTTATCTCCTGTCTTCGGTATACCATGATCTTCTGTCAAAGGTAAAGGATTATGGGCGTCCCCAAATTCAGATGTATTACTAACAACTGCATATCCAATATCCGAGTCAGAATCATCATCATCATCATTATCATCATCATCTTCATTTTCACATACCGGTATTCTTTCTTCCATCCCTTTCGATGCGTCGATTATATCCGTATTTAACTCTTCTTCTGTTGTTTCCTGACTTTGGACTGGAAACAAATGGTTTCTATGTAGTATCTTCTCTACTCCTGATATATCAGATCTCACTTTAAACACAGGTATATCATGTCTGGGTTGTTCAGTGACTTTATATAGTTCCTCTTCAAACTTGTCAGCACATTTATGCTAACCATCGAATTTAAAAATTTTCACCAGTACTATGCCACCAACAGATATAGTTGCTGCCTTGGCTTTCTTATCGACATAATTCTTCTGTTTAATTCGTGTTTTATCAGAGATATCTGTACTTATTTGATTTGTCCTTTCCATACGTTCTTTCAATTCTTTAATGTAGTCTGTTTTAGGCATTTTCTGTTGTTTCATTTTCATCTGTCGCTTGTTGAAATACAGCATCAATAATTATTGGAAGTTTTGCTTTTCTGCCAAACATTAATTCAAAAGGGGAAATTTTCGTTGTTTCATGTGGTGTTGAATTGTATGCATAGACTAGTGTTGGTATGTACTTCTTCAAATCTGTTTTCTGTGAAGTTTCTAAAGTATGTAACATGTCAAGAAGCGTCCGGTTGAATCGCTCAGTAATTCCGTTACCCATGGCTTGATATATGGAAGTCTTTGTCTGTTTCATCTGTGTGATAACACATAATTTTTTAATGATCTCCGATGGAAAGTTTGCTCCTTGATCAGAATGTATTGCTGTAGGAATTCCATAATGTACGATGAAGTTGTTATAAAAGGCTTCTGCTGTTGTTTTTGCAGATTGGCTCTTAGCTGGGATTGCCATAGCGAATTTTGTAAATTGATCCTTTATTACTAAAATGTTTCCAATTCCTTTTTCTGGTTCTAACGTCAGATAATCCATGCACACCATTTCCAATGGGTATGTTGTTGTTATATTTATTAAAGGAGCTCGACTGTGAAATTTGTTTTTACGGCGTAAACATCTACTACATTTTGACAAATGATTATCTATATCAGCTTTCATCCTTGGCCAATAAAATCTTTCTCGCAAAAGTGCTGAAGTCCTTTCCCTTCCATGATGGCCTACATCATCGTGAAGACCCTTTCATATGTCGTTGCGATAACAAGTTGGTATAAAAAGTTGGTCTACTTTTTGTTCTTCTAAATGTCTATATAAGATACCTCTTTTCATTTTAAAGTTCTTGAAGTTTCTTCTCAATAAGATGTCATCCCTGTTCATGTTCTTACTTGGTAGTTTATTGTCTATCACAGCTCTCCGCCACCTCTCAATTGTTTCATCTTGTCTTTGATTTTGTCTTATTTCCCTCATTTCGATTTGTGCCATTGGAGTTTCTGGTGATTCTGTAGCTTCTATTATATTGATACTAGTAGTTGGTAATGTTTCTATGTAAGGAGGAAAAATAATACTGCTGCATATTGTTTTCACTATCTTGTTGTCAATTTTCACCATGTCTGTTCCATTCTGCTGTACTTCCTCATACGGGTATCTAGACATTCCATCTGCATCAGCATTCTTGATTCCTGCCCGATAAATAATATCAAAGTTGAATTCTCCAAGAGCTGATGCCCATCTCTGTCCTGTAGCATCCAATTTAGCTGTTGTTAAGACATGTTTGAGAGGGTTATTGTCTGTTAAAACTGTAAAATGCTTTAAAGCCAAATAGTCTGAAAATTTTTCCGTCACCGCCCATTTCAAAGCCAAAAATTCCAATTTAAATGCAGAGTAATTCTTCTCCGATTTTGAAAGTGCACGACTGGCATAGGATATTACATGTATAAGATATAACATATATCAATATAATTACTAATTGGTTTTGCATACCTTCATTTTACGAACCATCCACTTAAATGTGTTTGAGTTTCAAAATAAAAAGAATAAAGATGAAAACTCGTACACATATAGACGTGCAATTTATATTTTAATGCGTGGAAATTACTTTACATCTAGGGAATACTTTTTTACTAATATAAAAAAATGCAAATATTAAAAAAATGATACCAATGCGAATTGAAAAAAGAGTGTTTAGCAAACAATTAAATACGTAACTTATCTTTAAATTTTCCATTGCTTCTGTTTTAAATGACATACCTTAAAAATATACACATTATATAATATATCAACATAATTAGTATTTGGTATTGCATATTTTCCATTAAGAACCAAGCACTTAAAAGTTTTGAGTTTCAAAATAAAAGCAATGGAAACGTAAAAAACGTACGCATATAATAGGAAAACATTTTTATAAGAGCCTGATAATGGACGTGAAATTTATAGTTCAGTGTGTTGAAATTACATTTTTACGTCTAGGAAATATTTGCTCACTTATATAAAAAGTATACAAATATAAATAAACTATTCCTGTACGAATCGAACAAAAGAGTGTTTAACAAACAATTATATACGTAACCTTTGAATGTACATTCTATCATAATAGTATAACACATATTTTGCGATGTATTTAGATACATTTCTCTATCATTCTATTTTTGAATTTATCTTGTCAACAACCGTTTTAAGATTAAAATAACCACATGCTTTGGGATTGGAATATGGTTGCGAGCAATGAGTATCTCCATATTATTCCAAACCCATGTGTATTGAGTTGCATCCTTAATTTTTGGAAAGGATTTAAGAAAGCAATTCTACAATTAGTTATAAATAAATTGAAATTTGAGATATACGTATGTCCGACGGAAAGCAATATTTTAGCAAATATAGCACTATCAAATAACTTTTCATTCCAAAATTTCATAGAATTTATATATAAAAGAAGAATAAAACCTCCTCTATTAAATACAAAAAGGTTATGTCTTATCTCATGTGTTGATACAATGCACATGAGCAGGCCCGTTTAATTTCTTGATTTTTTTTCAAGGTTGCATTATATTTTATGTTTCAAAACAATGGCATCATATATTTAAATTGTATGGTATGTGTGATATTCCTGGTCGATTTATATTATTTATTGTTAATACATGAAAATGCATTTTTCAAGTGATTTTTTAAATATTTGCATCTTTTTTATTATATGCCCGAAAGAATTTCAGGCATATTATGTTATACCCCCTGGCGTCCGTCCGTCCGTCTGTCTGTCTGTCTGTCTATCCGTCCGTCTGTTAGCAATTTGGTTTCCGGAGCATAACTTAAGTTCCATTTGGCCCACAACATTCAAACTTCATAGGATGATTGTCCATATTGGGTAAATGACCCCTATTGAATTTGGGGTCACAAGGTCAAAGGTCAAGGTCACTTTCACCTTAAAACTGAAAACAGTTTCCGGAGCATAACTTAAGTTCCATTTGGCCGACAGTGTTCAAACTTCATAGGATGATTGTCCATATTGGGTAGAAGACCCCTATTGATTTTGGGGTCACAAAGTCAAAGGTCAAGGTCACTATGACCTAAAAACTGAAAACAGTTTCCGGAACATAACTTAAGTTCCATTTGGCCGACAGTGTTTAAACTTCATAGGATGATTGTCCACATTGGGTAGAAGACCCCTATTGATTTAGGGGTCACAAGGTCAAAGGTCAAAGTCATTATTACTTTAAAAATGAAAACAGTTTCTGGAGCATAACTTAAGTTCCATGTGCATCACAGTATTCAAACTTCACAGGATGATTGTCCATATTGGGTAGAAGACCCCTATTGATTTTGGGGTCACAAGGTCAAAGGTCAAGGTCACTATTACCTTAAAACTGAAAACAGTTTCCGGAACGTAACTTAAGTTCCATTTGGCCCACAGTGTTCAAACTTCATATGATGATTGTTCATATTGGGTAGGAGAGCCTTATTGATTTTGGGGTCACACAGTCAAAGGTCAAGGTCACTATGACCTTAAAACTGAAAACAGTTTCCAGATCATAACTTAAGGTCTATTTGTCCCACAATATTCAAACTTCATAGGATGATTGTCCATATTGGGTAGAATACCCCTATTGATTTTGGGGTCACAATGTCAAAGGTCACTATTACTTTAAAACTGAAAACAGTTTTTAGAACATAACTTAATTTCTATTTGGCCCATAGTGTTGAAACGTCATAGGATGATTGTCCATATTGGGTAAAACACCCCTATTGATTTTGGGGTCACACGGTCAAAGTTCAAGGTAGCTATTACCTCAAAACTAAAAACATATCCCAGAGCATAAGTTCCATTTGGCCCACAATATTCAAACTTTATAGGAGGATTGCTATTTGAAGGAGGTAATACTTTATTTAATTTATGTAATGTCTTACAAATGCTTTATCCTTAGTAAAGAAAAAAAACACTTTCGGGCATATAATGCTCCGCCTAGCGGTGCTCTTGATTCTTATTGTTTTATCTCAGAAAAAATCAATCGATTTTTTGTACGACAATGGTGGTCATTCTTGTATTGATATACCATCGTTTAACACTTTCACAAAAATTACAAAATAGTTTACAAAAGCAAGATTTTCAAATGTGAAATGTCAATAGTGTATCTTATCTTCCTCATGTCATTCGAAGGTTCATTAATGAGGTAATTGCATCGTAGCTAAAGACACTCTTAGTGAACTTATATAATTCATCTAAAAGTCAAATCGGTGAATTGTGAATCTGCTAATTTCATCAATATTTTACACGCATGGTGTAAAATCGTTTTTTACGAGCAGATGACTACATCGACAATTAAACCTAAAAAGGGTCTTTTATAGAAGGAAACAAACATATCGATGGTCTCACTATAAAATGCCGGAGGTACAAAAAGTAAACTTTTCAGGGGAAGGAAAAAAGTGTTTTTCATGATCAATCAGAAAAATACAAAAAAAGTTTTGTTTTTTATTAACATCTAATATAGTAACTATTCAATGTATGATCTCAATGTAACGGTAATATCTTATCTTTTGGCATTAAAAGTAGTTTAGGCATTTTATAAAACGTAGGTGCAGCTTCGGCTTTATAAAATGCATTATAAATTTCCGAAAGTGCATTTTGCATCAGCGAAATGAAGCTCCGGGTTTTTACTTTATAACTGATGTAGTTTGGTAATCTGATTTTAACACACT